CGTGGCTATGGGGGGGCCACCCCCGGGCGGGCAAGTGTCCCCGTCCCCTGGCACCCGGCGGGCGAACGGCCACGCCCCCTGGCGCCCGACAACCTGAAAAGGTTGGGGACCACTGCTGTACAGGATAAACTGTGCTACCAGACCATTTGTTGGTTTTTAACTTTATAATTCAATTGTCTGATTAACCTACACTTCTGCCTGCATTGTCATGCAACACTGAGCAGGGACCAGGCCAAGGCTCCTGTGTAATGTCCCAGTAGCGGGTCGTTCTGCACCCTGCTTTGGGGTGAAGGATGCTGTAGCTCTAACTGCTGTGCATAAGCATTGCATCCTAGCTTTGTGACTGTTGCTCTTCAGCTGACCAGAATGAGGTGGAGGGAGGCCTGTACTTGGGATGGGTGCTGCCATGTCTGGAGTAATATGACACCAAGGTTTAGGCAAAGACCTTTTAGCTCCTCTTAGCTTGCGGGAGGAAAGCAGATGAAGGGCCCTGCTCTTGCTGGTGCCAGGCTGGGCTGTTAATGGTGTCCAATGGCCAGGAGCTTAGACAGGCTGTAAAGGGCTGAACATTAGCCTAGAGCAGAATAGCCTTCTCCATGACAAATCAGACCATCTCTGCAGATGACAGCTATTCTGAGAGACACTGCACTGGCATCCAGGATGGAGTTGAACAGAGGGCTAGGAGCTAGGGATGTTAAAATGCAGTTAACTGACTAGTCAAGTAGTCGATGGAATTTCCATGGACTAGTTGATAGGCACTTCTGCATGCCACATGGAGCCTGGGGTCAGCTGGGAACTCCACAGCTGACCCTGGTTCCGCGCGGCATTTCAGCAGAGCCCAGGGTCAGCAGGAGACTACCCAGCTGAACCCTGGGTTCTGGGGAAATGCCACATGTAGCCTGGGATCAGCTGGGGAGTCCCCAGCTGACCCCGGGCTCCAAGCGGCATTTCCCCAGAACCCGGGGTCAGCTAGGGACTCCCTGGCTGACCCAGGGCTCCACTGCCCTTTGGCATTTTAAAGGGGCAGCACTGCTACACAGCTGAGCTTCAAATCAGCTGGGCCCAGGCAGCTGCCCCTTTGAAATGTGGCTGCTTTGAAGTACCCCTTTCTTCCCTCCTCCCCTCCCCTTTGCTGCCTCTATCTCAGAGGCGGGGAGGGGGATCAACTAGTCAACAAACTATCCGATAAGCAAATGCTTATCTTTAACATCCCTACTGGGATCCAAGGTGCCTCTGTTCTTTCCCCAGCTCTGGGAAGGAAATGGGACCTAGTGGCTAAAGTAGCCCAAGGCACAGAATGGGTACTCTTACTTATCCCTTCTAACACTTGGGAGGAGAATTCCAGAGTCCGAGTTCCCGGCCCCCTCCTGTGCCCCATAGACCTATGTTCTATGACTACCTCAGTGCTCTGTAGCTTCTAATTTCCAGAGGCTTCTGAACTTTTGGATGACCTGGAAGTCTGCTCTGGCTTTGTAATCGTGATAAGGGCTCTGGTGTGTTGGAGCACGGGCAGTTTGTTGCTGGGATTGGCTCAGTCTGCCTCGAATGTTTCATGAGTCTGTTCTCTTCAGGAATTTACTGATCAATGCTGCAATAATGGCAGTAGGAGCAGAAGGTCTCCAGCTGGGGCTAAGCTGCCTTTAAGGCCCAGTCACTCTGCCTGTCTGCCCATGAGGTCTGTGGCAAGATTGGGCATTACAACCCGTCCTTGGCAACCCTGGGTCACTGTCACCGTATGGGAAGTTCTGCTGGTGCCTTGGGTGTAAGTGATTGAGGGTGAAATGCTGCTGTGCTGGGCAATCTCCTTCCTGTGCAGGGAGGGATGGGTGGTGCCAGCTTCGTTGCATGTGGCATTGCCATGGCAATGTATCAGGCTGGTGATTACGCTCACAGTGACTGGGATCAGGTTGTTCTGTACAAATGGGTCTCTTCCCTTGCTGTGGCTGTTCGCTGGCTCCGTATGGTGTGGGAAGCAGAGTCACTAGAGATCAGATCTCAGCTGGCGTTTGAGGGGCTGAGGCTGTTCAGAGTGGTGGGTGACAGCAGCCCATAACACTCGCAGAGGGAAGGGCTGAAGTGGGTGGTGGTCAGCTCACACTTTTCTTAAAGGTTAGACCCAGAGGCTTTGCTTTATTTACCTTGTCCAAAGGGAGTTCTGACAGTCTGGGAAATCTCCAGCTTGGTTTAGAAACACCTGCCTCGCTCTAGCTGTGTCTCGGCTGAAGGTCACCACTGTCCTCCACGGAAGTGACTTTAACAGCCTTGTTAGTGCAGGGCAGTGCCCAGCTCCCTAGGATGGGCAGGGCTGAAGCTGTCATGCCCCAGATCACCTGAATCCTGTAGAAGCCCAGCCCTAGAGGCCAGCCCAGCTTTGCATGGTGGTGCACCATCCATGCAGGACTCTTATAAAAGATCCTCTTCCTTCCCTCTCCCTGGAGTTGACTGCCATATGGGATGTCTGCAGTGCTGCAGCTTCCCCAGAGCAATGGGGTGAGGGGCTGGCCACAGCCAAGTGGCATCGCAAATCTCTAAATATGCAGGCCCTGACTCTGCTCAAGAGCGTAGAAAAAAGCCCCGGTGCTCAGGGTCTACCCATGGAGCTGGAATGTGACTGGGGGTGACTCCTTGAATCCCAGCAGAGCAAACAGCCAGAGCAGGTATGTGGAGGTTCTCACGTGGCTGTGTGGAGATCTAAAACCTGGCTTAAAAGCGGGCTTTTGCCTGGTAAACTCTAATCCTTGTGCTGTGGCTTCATTTCAGGGTCTCTGAAGGCCTTTATGCTTGTCGAGTTCAGAGTGGGGCTCAGATCTGCCAAACCACCAGATCCATCCTGCATCCTAGTGGGAGCCTGGGACAGGCTTTATGCCTACTGCACCCCTGCATGCTGCTCAAAGTGTCCAGCTGTAGGGGGTCACACATCTCTGACCCCGCTTCCTGTGCTGCCACTGCCCTCAGATATTTGTGGTTCCCATTGGCTGGAGCTTCCTGGGCTGTGCTTGCAGCGCTGGCCGGTCATGGAGGCCCATTCTGCCCCACTGCCTTGTGTGTTTGTGAGCCCCATGGTCCCCACAGCCAGACACTGAGTGGTGTTTGGGGGTGCAGCTCCTGCTGGCTACTGTCCAGGATCCACATAAGTTAAACACCTCCCAGGTCCTGTATGTGGCACCCCACCTCTTCCTGCCCCAGGTCACAACCCCCTCCCAAACCCTGCACCTGCTCCTACACCCCCAGCTCAGAATCCTCTCCAGCACCCCCACCTGGATCTTGCATCTTAATGTCATGCCCTAGGTCACAACCACTTCCTTCACCCAACCTCCATCCCAGACCCTGCACCTCCTCAATATTATGGAAGAGTACAACCCTTGACCACTTTCCAAATTTTTGGAGTAGCCCCCCCATCAAACTATTGCCCACCCCTGGTTTGGCTGAAAGACTGTAGGATGCACAAGTAGCTGGGTGATCAGAACAGGCCTTTCTGGCCTCCAGCTCAGTGGCTTCATCTTGTTCCTAGATTCTTAATGTTTCCAGGATTATGAATGTCTTAGTCTCTGAGCTCCCCTGAGCCCACAACAAGACTTGTCTTGAGGGTCCTGTAGAGAGCCTGCCTCATGAGTGGGGGCAAACCAAAACCAAGCACTCCATGCTATTCCCCCTGCTCCCTTATACTTCTGACCTCCCACTTGCCAGGGTGCAGCCCATGGTGACCTCTTGAAGTCTGAAGGGAGGGTGACCCTGCCCTATAAGCCAGGGCTTGCTACAGTAGCAATATTCGCCTGACCTGAGTGTAGGGATCCGATCGGCAGGCTAAGGCAAGGGAGAGGTTACCACTCTGGAAGGGGAGTGAGCTCAAGTGCATAAAGCGGGAGGGCTGGAGCCGAGGTTTGTAAGCTCCTATTCCATCCTCTGAGGAGCATCTGATGCTCCCTGTTATCTTTGGAATGCTGTGGGTGGCAGAGAGCAGAGTCCTGCTTGCCCAGGTGTCCGGGAGTGATTAGGGATCTCTGTATGAAGAGCCCCCGTATCTTACACTAGTTGGCCAGCACATCCACTTACCCTAGTGGTTCTCTGTGTGGTCCACAGGCCACTTGTGATCCATGACGGTCTTGCAGGTGGGCCACAGATGTGGGGCTTATCCCTCTCCTGCACTGAGGAGTTAGCACTGGTGCTCCAGCCCCCACCTCCTGTGAGGATGGCACACTAGTACTGGCTTCCCACTGCAGGGAAGAGGGGAGCCTCACAGGCTGGATCTGGCTTGGGGTGTGGGGAAGCAGCTCTCCACGCTGTTGGTTCCCCTCCCCTCAGCTGGGGGGATGGCAGCACAGGGAGCTGCTTGCCTGGAGGCTTCTCCCCTGCTCCCATTGGCTAGAATCAGTCAATGGCCCACCCTGCTCAACACAGACCATTCCATGGATCACAAGCCTATCACCATGAAGACAAAATGAGCACAGGAAGGAGTGAGGGTGCAGGAGTGGATTAAGGGGGTCTCTGGGTGGTTGGGACAAAGGGTGCAGGAGCAGGGAGGTGCAGGGTCTCAGCAGGAGGAGATGTGAGAAATGGGAGTTAGCACCTAGGAGCAGTGACAGGCACAAAACCAGGTAAGCGCTTCATCTCCCTCCTCCCCCCACACACACACCTCCTCCTGCCAGGACCCTGCATCTCCACCCTGCTCCCTCCCTCTCAAACACCCTCTCCTGCACCCTACTTCCTGGCCAGGACCTCCCTCCTCCTCCCCCGGTCTTCATGGTTGGTTGGCTGTGGTCCACAGAAAGGTCTACCTTGAGCAGGATAGGCCAAAAAGTTTGTGAACCACTAACATCCCCATTCCAGATTCTCCAGCCTTTGTCTGCTGGGGATGGGAGTGTGATCCTCTAGTCCTCTTCCACCAGAAACAATCCCTGCTCTGGGCAAGGGAGAGGTCTCAAACTATCCACACTTGATGACGTCAAGGCATAAAGTCAGGAATTGCTCTTCTCTCCTCATTCACCATCTGTCTGTTTCAGCGATTATCTGTTCAAGCTTCTGCTGATTGGAGACTCCGGTGTGGGGAAGTCCTGCCTCCTGCTGCGATTTGCTGTGAGTGTCCCTGCCCTGTATAGAGCCCCTCAGCTTCACAGTGGATCCTACCTAGCTATAGGGTGACAGGATGACCACATCTGTAGCAGCGGGGCCAGGGTATCTGACATGTGGCTTCTTGCGGCACATCACCCTAGAGCATTTTTATCAAACCTCAAATGGCTAAAGAGGTTATGCCTTTCAGTGCTTGGCTGGGAGACCTCCATGTTACAGAGAACAGTAGGGCTGTAATAGCATACCCTCTTCCCTCAGTTTGATCCCAGTGCCCCAGCCTCATGCTGAGGAGGAGGGTGCTGAGCTGCAGAGAAGGCTCAGTAAGGATCTCCTTGCCCTCAGTCAGTGTTGCCCCAGTGTCAGCTTGGGGACGTTGCTATTGGAGGTGCTGCTTTTTGCAAAAGACTTAACTCAGGTCCTCACCCTCTAAGGGTCCGTCAACACCCATGACATTGTGCCACAAGGCTCAGTAATCACTTTTTTCCTGGTCCGTTTCCAATTTGATCATATTTGGCCTCCTGTATCTCCAAATCTGCTTATGGGCTTCACTTCCTGTCCTAAACTTGCCCATCACTATGTGTTGCTTAATGGTCCCCATACCTCACCCAGTGGTGGCTGTGCATAGTCTGTATCTGCCCATAAAGCATTTTGGGGTGGGAGTACCAAACATCACAGGGCAGCTGAGTGCCAATGGGCATTTAGCACCAGCCAATATGTGTTTACCAACAGGCTCTCTTGCAGAATGACAGTAGATTGAAACAGGGTTTTTAAGTTGCAGAATCTTCCTAGGAGCTGCTTAGCTTCTACCAGGATCTCCAAACTCCCAAGGCACTTTAGCCCCCCTGCTCCAGAGGAATCCCAAACCTTCCTCTCTGCCCAGCAGTGGGCTGGCATCCATTCACCTTCAAGAGGTGGCTGTTAAAGAGTGTCTAGATCCAGGGCGTCAGATCTGCCACTAGAAATGGGTGATGAAGGTTCCCTTGCCTCAGCATTAAGAGCACAGGCCCCAGCTGCCCTGGTAACTCTGTCTCTATCTCCAGGATGACACCTACACAGAGAGCTACATCAGCACCATTGGGGTGGATTTCAAAATACGGACCATTGAACTGGATGGCAAAACCATCAAGCTACAGATTGTGAGTGTCTGGGCCCTGCCCCAGTGCTGCATTGACCTCTGAGGTCTGGTTCTGAAGTGCAGGGAATGGTGTACGGGGCTTTCACCCTCTGAGGGTGCCAGCTCCTGTCCTACTCCAGGGTCAGGGACTGGCTGGCTCAGTGTGGGGAATAGAATATGGGACCTTGTCCCCTCTAAGGCAAGGCTACTCAACTTTGGAAGGCCCAGGGGGCCACAATGATACTCTCAGCACATGCTGAGGGCCTCAACTTAGTGTGGTTTCATATATATGCAAATAGCTTTTCACACAATGCGCCAGCACTCCAGGCACCTCCTCCCTGGGGGCTAGAAACACCAATCCCCTGTAGCCGTCTGTTCCAGCCAGCCTTGCTGTTGTGGAGCGTGTTCCTAGTGGAGGCCATGTTCAAAGGATCCTACCTGCGGGCCGTGTGAGCCCCTGTAAACCCAAACCACACTCTGGGCTGCAAACAAACGGGCCGTGGGCCGCGTGTTGAGTAGCCCTGCTCTAGGGGGTACTGTCCATCTCTGGAAGAAGATAAATACAAGGTCCAACCCCTCCTGTCTCTTGCAGTGGGATACTGCCGGTCAGGAGCGGTTCCGGACCATCACCTCCAGCTACTACAGAGGGGCACATGGCATCATCGTGGTATATGATGTAACGGATCAGGTAATGCTGCCCGGGGCACTCTGGCCCTGCAGGTCCTCAGCAGCTTCTTGACCTTCCTGCATCCAGGGCCCCCTCCAGGTTTAGGCAGTGGGCCTCCTGCTGGGCCTCTCTGGAGCCAAGACCACTGGGTTCTATTCTGATTCCAAGAGGAAAGTCTAGCAACTCGCGCTACCAACAGTGAGACTCCTGTAGGTGCTGCCTGCTGTGTACACTCCCAGAGTTGTGCTGGGGAAGAGTGGTCTTGATCAGTGTTCCCCAGTGACCATCTATTCTGTACCTTTTATGTTGGGCACTGCCCCTTCCTGGGGCGATGGAGCATTGCATTCCTTCTGCATCTGCCCCAGGCATTGCTGACATGGGTGTCTCGCACAGCTATGGCAGCAGCTATTCTGCTCTGTGCTTGCAGCTGATGTACCCCTGTCTGGCCCATAGAGCAGTTAGCAGAGCCAGGCCCAGAGGGCTTCACTGCCTGAGTTTCCATAGTGACCGTGACTAGAGGGAACAGGTCAGTTTCTGAAGATGGCCAGACTGGCAGCAGCTGCCTGGAGTAGGTGGGAAGGACATCAAGAGAACAGCTGCTTAACGGGGGAAGGGCTGTGCTGGTGGAGCAAGCGCTGGGAGCAGGACTCCTGGGTTCCCGACTCACTGATCTGGTGCCAGTTGCTTGCAGTCTGAGACAGCAAATGGAGACACCCCCCCTTTCTGAGGGGGGTGGGGTTGGCTCCCCAGCAGCAGTTGCTGGAAGTGTGCTTGCTGGCAGGGCCTGGGGTTGAGCCCATGTTCCCTGTTGCAGGAGTCGTACAGCAACGTGAAGCAGTGGCTGCAGGAGATCGAGCGCTATGCCAGTGAGAATGTCAACAAGCTGCTGGTGGGCAACAAGTGCGACCTCACCACTAAGAAAGTGGTAGACTACACCACTGCCAAGGTGAGCCAGGCCCAGCAGGCCCCTTCTGTCCACCACCTGCAGATGCAGACAGCCCCATGTGAGAGTTGCTGCCTATCAGCTTTGCTGTCCCTATTGCAGCAGATTCCTGTAGTACCCAGAAGCCACACCAGGGGGCAGCACTTGTCCTGTCAGCAGCTTCCTCCCCTTCATGTCTGGCTCAGAAGGGCTTGCTGTTTCCTCATCTACAGTGGGGGCTAAATGAAATGACTGACCAGACCTGCTGCCTGGGAGCCAGACTGTCAACATTCAGAAACAGCTGGGAAGTGCTTGAGATTCTTCTCAAGATGAGCCCTCTTGGAGAGGATGACAGCCCTGCCCCTGTTAAGCCACAGAGTCCTTGCTAGCCTGTAACCCTTTTTCCTCCCTTGTTTTTGTGCAGGAGTTTGCAGACTCCTTGGGCATCCCCTTCTTGGAGACCAGCGCCAAAAACGCCACCAACGTGGAGCAGTCATTCATGACCATGGCTGCTGAGATCAAGAAGCGCATGGGTCCTGGTGCCACTACTGGTGGGGACAGACCCAACCTCAGAATCGACAGCACTCCAGTCAAACCAGAGGGCAGAAGCTGCTGCTGAGGCCCAGGACTGAAAGATGGGGTGGGAAGGGGAGGGGACCGTCCAATCTGGTGCTGTCCAGCACCCTTCTCCTGTGGAGTAGCAACTTTCCCGGATGATGCCGTGCAGGTGGACGGGACCTCTGTGGTGGGGTGATGGTTTGGGTTCTCTGCCTGTGTTTAATTGCTTACCTTGTTGAGTGTGTGGAGGGGGCAGACCTGCAAGGGGTGCTCTCCCACCCATGAGAACTTCCCTCTATGCAGCCTCTGTTGCCTCAGTCCTTGGGCCCAATGCCTGGCAGGTTTCCTGGCTCCTTCTCATGGGTTCTTTGATGCTGCTTCCCTCTTCCTGCTGGGTGCCTAGGGCTGCCCCCATCTCCACCCCCGCAGCCTCTCCTGCCTACAGCCCCCTTTTCTTTCGTTCCTGATGTGGGGGTCCTAAGGATGAGCCTGTCACCAAACTTCTGTCCCTGTGCAATTAACTTTGAACTAGGGGTGGCTGAAGCTGTTTTGCTGCCTGGTCTCCAGGATGCAGTGGCTTGTCCCTAGCAAAATGGAGGTCGGGGCATAGGCCTCTCTGAGCTGTTCAAGCTACTCTCCAGGGCTGTGGCTCCTGCCTCCACTGTGTTGTCCTTGTTCTGCATCTCTTCTCATTCCTCCTTGCCTTCAGGGGCACAGATTTTTTTAATTCCCTTTCTGCTGCACCTTGGTCCACCTTCATCCCCCTGCCTTGCTCTAGGTCGATATTGATACCTCTGCTGCAGAGTGGCTGTGATGCAGGGTTGGCCCGGAATGCTGAGCTGAGCTTGATGCCACTTGTCCCCCTCCGTCCCTTGACCTGGCCCCTCACTTTCCTCACCTAGTCCTGCTGAGGCTAACAGCCCTTCCCAGCCAAGAGGGGGTAGGTGGATAGCCCTGGGCCGGCCCATGCCAGGCCCACTGAATGTATTCAGAGTAACACAGTGAGGGGCCTTAGAACTGGCCACAGGGGTTGTTTGTAGAGCCTCTTCTCCAGGGCTCAGGGCCCCCAGCACCTCAGCTCTCAAGGGCTAATGCACTGAGCAGCTGTCTCCTTCCCTCCAGCTGGGAAGTTCTTGCACTTTGTGGGCAAATGTGGGGGCTGTCCTCTACTGCTCAGCTCACCCCTCTGCAGCATCAGCCCTTCCCCTCGTGACCTACTCCCAACCCTGGCAAGAAGAAGCTGGGGCCCTGAGCACATGTCCCTTTACTGTACCTACGCCCCATTGCCTGGCTCTGCCCCTATTTAGGGGGATGGGAGGAGCCAGCTGGATGGTTCATTTGTTGGCTCTTTTTTTCCACCAGTGACATTATTTAAAAAAAGAATAAAGGTGAGTGCCTCTGCGGGGAGGCTCCTGTAGCCTGCACCCTTGGTTCTGTGTGCAGGTGTTCTGGGGTGTGTGCAGCTAGCAAGGGGGAAGACAGACAGGCTGGGCTAGATACCACCTGCACCCGGATCAGCCAACACCTGCCTGGGTTACCCCAGGTGCACCAAGCCCATCATAGCACCTTCTGGTCTCCTTTGACTAGCAAAGCCCCCACTCAGTTGGCCAGGCCTTGCAGTGTGAGAACAGCCCCCCCCCCGGGATACTGCCCCCGTTCCTTTGATTACCAGGGGCTGCCTGCAGTGCAGCTTCCCTTCCTGGGGTGGCTGTCCTGAGCACTCCTGCTGTTTTGGAAGACCCAGAGTGGGGGGAGTGGAAGATTGCATCTTGCCTCAGCTGTGGGCTCAGCAGGGGGCAGGGAGGCATAGTTGCCAAAGGGATGGGGGAAGCAAAACTCCAATCCAGGCCTAGACTGCTGTAGTAGCAGGACAGAGCAGGGGATGTTTTGTAGGCAACTAGCTTCCCCTAGCACTGGGGCAGCATCTTGAAAGAGCTTGAAAGTCTCTTACAGCCCAGGGTGGCCCTTGGAGACCAGGAGTAAGAGGACTGGATAATTCACCTCCTGTGTGACAATCCTCCCTCCCCCCTGCCAATTCTGTTGGCTGTGCTGGGACATCCTGTGATGACGTTCCTGCAAGTTTGGGTAGGTGGGAGGAACTGACTCCAGGCCATGCTCTTAGCCACACAATTTGGCAAGGCCTGCAGTAGGCCATGCTGCCCTCACATGGATTTCCTTGGGGCTATGCCTCCATTTTGTAGCAGTGCCTAGCTCTTCCTGGCAGGGAGGCCACCCAGGCACTAGCCTGTCAATAGGCAACCCACTCATCTGTCCATCTCTAGGACATGCCAGATATGCTGCCTGTCTCATGAGTTACTAAGTAGTGCACCAAGCAGCTTCTCATACCTCCCCATGGTGGGTAAGTCCAGAGGGCTGCCCTGCTGTGATGCCTGGTAGTACCCTCTCTGGCCTCACTTGGGGCTCCCTGTCAGCCTGCATTGCCATTGTGTAGACTTGGACTACGTGCTCAGCACTAGACCTCTTAGTAAGAATCCCTGTACTGTCTGCCCATCATGTGCCCTGCTCTGCCAGCTCCTCAGCTCTCTTGCACCAGTCTGACCCTAGCTGTTTGTGTGCACAGGTGTGCAGTCAGCTTGCTGGAGCCCCGGTCTCTGAGCCAGCACCAGCCTGGGAAGATGTGACAGTGGAGGTTGGGGAATTAGGTCAACAATGGAGAGGGAAGGGCGGGACCTTGCCCAGACATGTTCCTCAACCTGTCCCCTCTCGGAGGGGGAGCCTGCAACCCAGGGTCAGTGCAGGTCCAGCCTGGCTAGCTGTCCTCCATGGTGAGGTGGGGTGCTGCTTCCCCACATGGGTCAAAGAGTTGGGCGGAGCCTGGCATGGACTCAGATCTGCCAGCTCATGCCACCCCCACAGGATAGGAGCTCAGCCCACTCAAGGGGCTGCTCCTGATTTGCAGGTTTGAAAGTAAAGGATGGATTCCAGCTGGAGCATGCCAGTACGGGCCAGGTGTGTGTGTGCTGCTAATGCGCTGAGGGAATGGGGGGCAGTGGCCTCTGAGGTGGGGGCGGGCTATTTCTGCTGCTCAGAATGAGCCATTGTGTCCTGCTCCCAAGAACAAGTCACTATTTTAAGCCCTTTGCTGTCAAGAAATAAGGTCAGTGTAGGGGAGAGAAAACAGCATGAGCTTGCCTAGCAGCAGGTATTCTTCCTCCTCCCTCCCAACACACCTGGGAGTGTGTGTTCACCTCTCTTCTGGCTGCATCTCTGCAGTAGGAGGGGGATCCCTGCACAAGCACCTCCATTTGTTCTCTTCCCCAGCCCCTGGGTGGTACCCCCTCAGCTGGTTGCATCTCAGCACTGAGCAAGAGATGAAAGGCTTTAGAAAATGGAAAACTTGCTGTAGAAGTGTCTGAATGTAGCACTGCTATCCGTGCAGGTGGCTGTTGTGAAGCTATCTGCTGCTCAGCTCTTTACTAAAGGAATTCCAGTGGCCTTTCTGAAAAATTCTGAGATGTTGCTGATGAGTGCACCTGGACTTTGAGATCAGGCTCAGGGTAGTCCTGAAGCCAGGGGCGTGCCTTTTGATGTTCCAGGGAAACTGGTGCCTGTCTGGCTGAGGTATAAGCTGCTGAAAATGTCTTTTGGCAGCGTGATGAGATTCAGTGGCCTTGATGGTACCTCTCCTCTGACTCTGCTTGGAACACAGCAGCAATGGATCATCTTCACAGTATGCTTGGGCTCTGGAGAATAGGTGCTGAGTAGGGACCCTGCTATCCTAGAGTTGCTGCTTGATAGCTGTTACTAATTCTGTGCTCTTCAAACAGCCCCTAGCTCAGCAGGGCAGAATTGGGTTGTATC